AGATAGACCTCCTCACCATCAGGAGGCAAAAATTATTGTCCGTATGCACAATCATGCCACAATGGCATGGGGCTTGTCAGAATCCCACAAGGGAGTAGCTCGGTCTGTATTAACTCTCTAGCTATGGCACAGGATAAGGAGGAAGATGAGGAGGAAGAAGAGGAAGAAGACAAAGAAGAGGAAGGACAGGAGGAAGAAGAGGCCGAGGATGAGGACGAGGAAAAAGGAAAGACGAAAGACGGCAGCGAAGGAAGACAGCGACGAGGATGAGGACGACGAAAGACGAAAGACTCAGTCGACGGCGGCGGCAACAACGACGACAAGAGGCAGCAGAAGAAGCAGCAGACGCAGAAGCAGCAGCAGCAGCAGAATCAGCAGCAGAAGCAGCAGCAGCAGCCGAAGAAGCAGAAGAAACAAAGATGAAAGACGAAAGACGCTGCCAACGGCGGCACAGAAGCAAAGGCAGCAGCAGCAGAAGAAGAAGAAGCAGAGGCAGAGGCACAGGAGGAAGAAGAGGCAGAGGAAGAAGAACAAGAAGAAGAAGAGGCAGAGGCAGAGGAGGAAGAAGAGGCAGAGGCAGAGGAAGAAGAGGAAGAAGAGGAAGAACAAGAGGAAAAGGAGGAGGAAGAAGAGGAAGAGGGAGAGGAAGGAGGAAGAAGAGGAAGAGGGAGAGGAAGAGGCAGAGGTGTTCCTCAACTTGTGGTCCTGAGGAATACACAGACATTCCTCACCTCTGCTGCAAGTGTACAACAGATCTGAAACCAGAGTGTAACCTGGTTCAGAGGCAGGATCATCCAGTAAGAAGAGAGCGTCAGGCCTACGAGAAAGGGCATCTGCCACTTTGTTGTAACAACCCTTCTTGTGTTTCAGTTCAAAGTCAAACAGATCAATGAACTGAACGTAGCAAGCAAGCTTGTCATTCAGCTCTCCCTGGGACTTCATCCACTGAAGTGTGGAGTGATCTGAAAAGATTTTGAAGTGTCTGCCCAGGAGGAAGTGCTTCTAATGCTCGAGCACTAACACAAGAGCATAAAGCTCTTTCTCATAGGTAGAGTCCTGCAGCTTCTTAGCTTTGATCTTCTTGCTCATATACTCGACAGGTTGCAGACCATTCCCATCATCCTGCTGAAGTACCGCCTCTACACCATACTGACTAGGATCAGTCGTTAGCACAAAAGGCAAGGTAGGGTCGGGTAACTTCAGAACAGGTGCACGAATCAAGGCCTCCTTGAGGCGTGTAAAAACCTCCTGACATTCTAATGTCCAAAGAAAGGAAGTGTCTTTCTTTGTGAGGTCAGTCAGGGGTGCTTCAATAACAGAGAAGTTCTTAATGAACTTCCTGTAATACGATGCAAGACCCAAGAAAGACCGGACATCAAGAACGTTTACAGGCTTCGGCCAGTCCTGAACAACAACAACTATCGTTGCCTCAGGAGCCAACCCATCTTTAGAATGACAGGACCAAGACAAACAACAGAGTCAACTCCAAAGGACTTCTCTCTGTCGATCTTGTACTGATTGTCATGTAAGGCCTGGAGGACCAGAGCCAGATGTTGTGCATGCTCCTGGACAGAATGGCTGAATATCAAAATGTCATCCAGATAGATAACTACGAACTTGTCCACATAAGGCCTGAGCATGCGATGCATCTCTGTTTGGAAAGTGCCGATTGGCATGACCAGGTACTCATAAGTGCCATATGTAGCCTTGAAGGCTATCTTGTGGACATCACCTTCAACCATCTCAATCTAGTGGTAACCAGATTTAAGGTCGATCTTGTTGAAGATAGTGCAGCCCTGCACCATGTTCAACAGATCATCAATCCGAGGAAGAGACTCTGTAGACTTCCTCGTGATCTTGTTGAGACCCCCGTAGTCTACACACATCCTCAACTCACCATTTCCCTTTGGAACAAAGAGAACTGGTGCCCCAAATTCAGATGTGCTGGGACGAATCCAGCCCTTGCTGGTCAAGGTCTCCAACTGTTTCCTGAGCTCATCGAGTTCAGCAGGGGACATCCTCCAGACTCGGCCCTTGGGAGGGACCGAGCTCGGGAGGAGCTCAATCTTATGTTTGGTCTGCCTATGGACAAGTCCAGTTGGCTCCTGCATAAGATCTGAGAACCGGTCAACCACTTGCTGAATTTGGGAGGGACAGGGAGCAGTCTCCACATTAGTCTATTTGACATATGCCACAAACATGTGTGAGGCCAGTCTGGCGTGACAGCTTAATGAAACTGCGAGCACGCATACAATAGCAGCTACTGGCCGAATGATATTTCATCAACGAGCATACAGGGACGATAAATCCCATGCCGGTCAGGTAGCTCAACCCTAGGGATCCGCCAGTCGATCCTAGGGTTGGTGGCACTAAGCCACTGCAAAGAAAACACAAAGCCAAAGGGTACGTTAGGGAACACACAGAAATTCAGGCGGTGCCTGATTTCTCCCTGCTTGTCAAAGACTACAGGTTGGCCCTTGACAAAAGAAGTGGTCCTGACTGTGGACGAGTCACCAATACGAACCTCAATAGGTTGTCGCAACTTTACTAGTCTCTGGTCCAAGTGCAGCCTGCAGACTGTCTTGGGAGATGAAGTTATGAGTAGCCCCACAATCCAAGAGCCCTTTGAACTTGGCTCCCAAGATGGAGGGTCGAAGCATGATGAGATCTGACCTTCGCTTCTTTCTTTCCTGCAAGGACAGGAAGAGATCAGCAAGGCTTTGAGACTCATCCTCCTCCCACGTCTCATCCAAATCAGTGTCCTCATAAGTGAAGGACCCTGATGACGCAACTCCACAAAAGGAATCGGCGAGAGAAGGTGAAGGTTCATCTTCATCAGAAGGTGAATCAGCACTGGTGGAAGGAGCTGTTGCTTCCACCTCTCTCCACTCTAGTTTTTTGAACTAAAAAAACCGCCTGTAGACCTGCGAGGCATATTGGGACAGTCCTTGAGGAATTGTTCCCCCTTGCATCTCAGGCAGACTCCCTTGTCCTTCCTCTTCCTCCAAACTCCCTCCTGGATCCTGAGTGCATGTCAGGGGGGAGGTGGAAGGATCAAGGGGGTCAGCTGGCCAACGGACGTCACGTTGTGAGGAAACCCAGGGAGGGGTCACCTGTTCGTTGCTGAAGCCAGAGGCAACGACGTCTATCACCCGCCGTGCCCGCTTCAGAGGTCCTCAACGGCGGAACAGGGGGTGGGGGATTGAATGGCCTGTCACGCGCCCCACTTACAACTGGTTTCAATATGTCTTCTCTGTACACTGAACAAATACAAAAGAACAAACAAAAATAATATGGACGGATCTGAGACTCAAACTCATAGCACACTCAGGCTCCCTCCCGCAAAATTCAAGATCTGTGTGGTAAAGTTGAGACTCACCTCAAGCAAAAAGACACTCGTTATCTATCCAAACATTAAGGGTAATTTAGCCAATGTTCGCAGCTGCAAATAGTTCCATAAGTTTTCCAAGCGGGAGTGTAATTGAGCAACTGAGCATGGACTCAAAGCCAAAACCCTGTCAAGAGCTTGACAAGGACTCACACGCAATTACAGCAAGAATAGAAACTCACGCGGAAATCAAGGGGAACCCTAGGGCTATCCCTGTAATATTAATGTTGTCGAACTCCTGCTTGCTGCTAGCGTGGCTCTGCTCACACAGGTTGGACTGAAGTTTTGGAAACCGCAATTTTCTTTTTTTTTTCTGAACCCGCTTTCCGTCAGTAACCACTGGTATATGCGCATCTAGCCCAAAGCGGCATTTCGACAGGGATCTCTTAATTAGCATGCCCAACACATCTTGACAGTTTTGATTGGGGTCACATTGGATCTTGAAATGATCAGTGATGAAAGAAGGGCCTTGTCAGAGATCACTGTCAGAAACAGCAGCGGAGCTCGTTTTGTGTTCTCAACAAGTAGGCTCACCATTTTGTTCATACCCAATTTTACAGCAACGTCATCAACCGTGAGAGTTCAAGTGTGTCATGGTGCCAGCACGACCACATCCCAACTTCTTGACTTCTCTCTCTCACTTTCCCTCAGTCTGTGCACTCTCGCTCACTCACTCTCTCTTTCTCTCTCTCTCTCTCCCACTGTGCAGTCTCTCTCTCTGTCACTGCGCACTCTCTCTCTCTCTCTCTCTCACTGCGCAGTCTCTCTCTCTCTCACTCTCTCTCTCCCCCACTGCACACTCTCTCTCCCCCACTGTGCAGTCTCTCTCTCTACCCCACTGTGCAGTCTCTCTCTCTCTCTCCCAATGTGCAGTCTCTCTCTCTCTCGCTCTCTCTCTCTCTCTCTGCGCAGTCTCTCTCTCTCACTGCACAATCTCTCTCTCTCACTGCGCACTCTCTCTCTCTCACTGCGCACTCTCTCTCTCTCTCACTGTGCAGTCTCTCTCCCCCTCACGACGCCCACGAAGAAGAAGAAGAAGAAGAAGAAGAAGAAGCAAAGGAAGCAGCAGCAGAAGAACCAGCAGCAGCAGCAGAACAAAATCATCTGCTGACGTAAAATTTCTGTTCTTCCAGAACCAGAAGAATCAGAAGCAGAAGCGGCAAAAGAAGCAGAAGAAGCAGAAGCGGCATGAGAAGAAGAAGAATAAGAAGAGGAAGAAGATGAAGAAGGCGGTTTAATAAACTCAAAGCCTCCAAGAGTACAGCAGTCATTGGGAACAACAATCAAAGATTCCAACATTTTACAAATAATAAAGCAACAAAATATGTTTTACATGCATGCAATCCTTTGTGTGTGCACCCCTGTAGCCCCCACATATGTGTGCCTTCACGTGTGCGAGTTACTGAGCATGTGTCATGATAAATTTCCACCATTGTTTATGTCACTGAATGCCTATGTGCGCCCAGGCATACATGTGTGACATATGCCTGCATGTCACGACAAAGTTTCATCGTTCCTTACGTCAAGAAATGTGTATTTCTGCCTGTCCATACACATGTGACATGTGCGACATGCATTTGCTGTGTCCTATATATGTTTCTTCAGCACGCACCTCCTCGTAAATGTCAATAACACACGTGTCTGGTCTCTTCGCAGCTGGCAAAACCTTCCATCTCACCATTCGATCCACAAAATCGCTCAAAAATGGTGGCATCGGTTCAATATCCTCATCTGTGCAATCAAGAAATAGGGGCACACACATAGCAAAGACATATCAACAACCCCCGAAGAACCTGACAAGTGCAAACTTTGTCAATCCCACATTACAGACACTCACTCCCCATCCTGCACCTTTTTGCCTTGTTATCTCGAAGTTGTGATGAGTAGCATTGCAGCTGCATGATTCAATGACCTCCTGAGTTCCAACTGGATGAGGGAGCTGGCAAACTGTCCATAAGTGGTGGGATTTGCAGGATTTTTACCCGCAACCTGCCCAACTATCTCCTGTATTTTGAAATTCAGAGGGGAAACAGTCTGAAACTGTCCTGGGTAAACACTGAAGTCCTGGAAACCACCATCCTGCCCACCATCCTGGTATCCACCACCTCCTGTACAAACAAGCAACCAACAGCCTCTGCACTGAATATTTTGCTCATTCACTAGTACACTGAAGGTCTGGTAGAGGTTCAGCGGGAATCGGCTGCCACCTTCATTTTTCCAAAGGTCTGCACTGTAGATTTTAGGCTTGGCAAAATGGATTTTTTGGTTCGTGTAATGACCCACCAAAACACAGACTGAGAACAATGCTGATTTCTGGGATTTGCCGCTGGAATGAATGCCTTGCTGAGATTCCTGCATTCTGCTGTGGTTTCCAAGTCTGTGTGTGTGTGCGTGCCTGCTGGTTTGCGTGCCTGTCTGAGTGCTCGTCGGCTGAGTGTGCCCTCAAGGGTACTTGTTGGTTGAAAGGCCCCGCAGGGCCGGTACTTACCTGTGGCTGTGACTTTGAGGGTTGCAGCGGGGAAAACACTCACGTAGCGGGCGTAGGCCCGCGACACTTAGAGCAGCGGGGAAAAACACTCAAGTAGCAGGTAGGCCGGTACCACTGAAGTAGTGTAGAAGTGTCGGGTACTGGAGGCCAAGCAGAAGAAGACAAAAAGTTGGCATTTTGTGAGGCCCAGTAGGTAGGCCGGTACCGGTCCAAGTAGCCCGAGTCTAGGGCCTGTCCGGACGATAGCAGAGCCTGCAATGATGTTTTCCTCCGAAAGGGAGGAGGTGGGAGGCCACTCGGCCTAGGAAGTCACCGCCCAAGAGGCCAGCAGGCCGCTATATCTTCTGGAGGAGCAAGCAGCTCCTCCTCATTTGTGGTATGCAAGGATTGGCGACATGCTGCTGGATCCAAGCGCTTGACTTGTGAATCGCTGCCTGGAGGTGAAGAGAAGTTGGGCGCTCAGCCTGGCTATGCAGCCCAGCCTGAGGCGGAGGAAGAAGGGGGGCGAAAGAGGAGAGTGGCGAGGTACCTACCTGGCTATGGTGGACACCATCTGCGTCACCTTGTTCGGCGCTGCATCTGGAAGGCCCCAGTTGGGGTAGTGCCACACCAAGGAAGCTCGAGGCAGAGTCAGGCATGGCGGCTTAGTAAGCAGCGGCATAGCTGCTTTGCGTTGTCCTTTGGACAGGAGTGCAGCGCCATAGCTGCTTTGGGTTGTCCTTTGGACAGGAGGGCAAGGCCCTCAGTAGTCAGCCATAGCCAAGGCATGTGAGAGGTGGAAGAAGGGGGGGAAGCCATAGCTATGGTGGACATGTTGTTGTGTCAGCAGTAAGAGGGAACTTTGGATATTGATTCTGGTTCATCCACTCATTGTTATTATTATTATTGGAAGAAGAATAAGATTGGCGAAGTGAGGGAGGAGGACGAAGGTGGAGAGAGAAGGGGGATTTGTCATTGGTCTCGCTGGTGTACATCTTCCTATTCTTCTTCTTCTTCTCTTCTTTGGTCTCTATCTCTTTGCAAGTGCTTTCATTTCTTTCGCAATTGGGTGGCATTGTCTTTCACTGTGAATTTGCACTTTGGGAATGACCAGGATCGTAACAACTGGTATCGGAGCGGACTTACTTGCTGGCGAGAGGTGTTAGTCACCCTAAACCTAATTCCGAATTAGGTTAGGGCTAACATAATCTCGGGTTAGGGTTGGAAGTTGGGGTTAACAGGGGCAGTGAGGTATGCGGATACTGCCCCCACCTGGTTAGGTCATGTAGGGTCGACATCAGACCTGACCAGGTTGCTTGTGTGATTGGATGGGGTGGCGAGACACAAAGGAGGCTGATTGGAGTAAGTGAGAGGGAGTAGAGAGTGAGAGGTACTCGCACCTGGAATCTGCACTTCAAGAAGACATTGAGTGACTTTTGGGCTTCCCCTCAAGAGGGAGACTTGATCGAAGGCTGCCATATCTGCATCGAAGAGCTGCAAGTTGCTACTTTGGTCTTCAGACATCGACGGAGGATCCGGCGTTGTAATAGGGGTGCAGGGAGGCCCTCTTGGTCATGCTAGGACACTTCGTGTAGTGGTAGCTACGGGTCAGGAGGACCTATGAGAAAGGCGGGTGAGTCGTTATCCATCTTTGGAGGCCGGGCCTCACAGGTAAGTGTCGTGTGACCTGGTTATGCCCATGGGAGGTTGCTTGGTGCTTCATGGCCTGTTGGGGTGTGCTGGGCTCTCTTCCTCTTCTCTGCGGTCTTGGTTGTGTGTGTAAGCATGTGCATTGCTTTCTCACCTGATGGATGGATGGATGATGTATCTTGTTCTCAATGACATATCTTTCTACGGTGCATTGTCCTCACTTTTGAACGGCTGTAGGGGTAAGTTCTTGTTGAAAGTTGTCTTTTCCTTTTCAGTACGATAGAGGCAGTTTGGGACTGACTTTGTACACCTATCTCGTTGGTCCTGGTCCACGACCTACTTGGGACCCTTGGCACTCAGTGGGATCAGGCCCAATGGGACATGACCTTTAAGACCCAAATCTGTTGGCGTCAACGCATCTCTTTGCCGTGCTGAATCTAGAGGGACACACGACTAGCAAGGACATTCCTTTCAAGGGGATCTTGACTGGTCTTACTACATGTTCTCACAAACTGCCCCGCGTCTGGCTCGGCGACTGTCTACACCCCTCAGAATCTCCATTGCTGCAGTTAGTTTTCTTCCGCTGACTTCTTGTGGTACATGTTCCTTGTCAGGTTAGACAAGAGGGGATCTCCAACTAATCTGATCGGGCCCATTCGTTAAGTCAGTCCTCTCTTTTATTTGTTTTTGTTTTTTTTTTTGTTGCGTGAATGTCATTCCCTAAGTCCAAATGAATTGCCGCTCTGGCCAGGAGTTCTACCTTCTACACTTTGTGATTTACAGTTTTTCTTTTATCTGAACTATCTGTGTCCGGTATTGAGACGCGTGCGCAGAAAGCGGAAAGAGAGAGAGGGAGAGAGGTGTTCTTTTTTAGAGGTGTGAGGAGGGGTATGATGTTTGCCATCCTCGAGGATAGGGCGTCAATAGATCTCTCGAGGATTGGACGATGTTCGTCCAATCCTCGAGAGATCTATTGACGCCCTATCCTCGAGGATGACAAACATCACATTCGAGCAATGGAAGGCCATGCTAGATGCAGCAGCCGAGAGTGAGAAACCTTTCTTTCAAAAACTTTATGAGGACGCAATGCACAGAGAGAGGGAGGCAGAGGCAGCAGCCAAAGCAACAAGTTGCGACCCTCCTTGAGGTTCCGGAATCAAGTGATGACCGGTTCCAAGGCTAGCTGCTGTCGTAGCAGCCTTGGTTCAACTGCGGACCTTGGAAGATCTCGAGTCCCGTGTGACAACTCTAGAGCAACGGAACCAAGAGCTGCAGGCTCAGATAGCCAGCCTCAAACAGTCCCACCTGTCTGCCCCCCGTCCTCCTAATCCTCAACCTCCTGCTGTCCCAGTCTCTCACCCTAACACAGTCCTCACGTCGAGAGCAAGTGGAACTGTGACGAGCGCAGGAACCGGTGCCAGCTCCTCAAGCGGCTGCACTGGTCCCAGTCCCAAATGTAGGAACATCAGCCCAAAACGCCGCAGTTCTTACTGGCGTACAATACAGCAGTCCCATAGTGGACAAGAGGGCGGCCACACTGCCGTCCAAGTACGACGGGAAGGGGGACATCACCTCTTGGATCAGCTCCATGCGCTCATACTTCGAGGTACTGCGAACACCGCATGAAGACCGAAGCATGATCATGGGCACAAATACGGAACCCGCCGTACGGAGTTTCATAGAACTCCAAGCTGTTACTGCACGTTATGAGAGGATTTACCTCACTGAGTGACTGAAAGTAACTCCTGTACGTACTCTTGAGGACCTCCTCATCGTGTAGTATCAAGATAAGCATGATGCGCTCAAGATAAGGCTAAAGCTTGTGGCCCGCAAGGGCCAAAAGTGAGGGACTTCCATGCAAGCTTTGGAGCAGCACTTGACTGGTCTGTTCACCGCTCCAAACCTGGGATGGACTGGCGTGTCTTGCATGGATGTAGTGATGGAAGTGGCCCCTGAAGACTATGTCTCCCGGCTAGGACTCAAGGACCGTACGACCTGGCGTGAGCTACTGACGGATCTAGTCAACCTAGAAGCCAAGGACCTCGCCCGACGTGCAAAGACACCCGCTGCAAGTAGAACCTCACGACGCAAGCGGTACGAAAGCAGGAACCAGCTTGCCCTGCATGAACATCGGGAGGCTGAGTGAAACAGTTTTCACCTTTGGCAGTAGCCGATGCAGATCCCAGGGGTCGATCCCTTGACCTCAGCTTACCTGTGTACAGTATCTGTACAGTTCCCTGGAGTTGAACCCGTGACCTGCACGATAGCCAGTGGTAAGTAGGTCACCGTAGGTTGTAGGCTGTAGGAAGATTCGAACTGTAAACCTGTAGGGTAGGAGTCCAAGTAGAGTCCAGAAGCCCARCTTTAGTCCTTCTAGAAGGTTGGCAAGTGGTCAAGTGGTGAGTCTAAGGTAGGCCCACGTTTTTCAGACGAAGACAAGTGGCAAGGTCAACAGGTAGGACCTCAGTGCAACTGCACTGAGTCGACGGTACGACTTCCTACAGTCAGGAGAAGGGTCTAGAGAGTCCCAGTCCAGTCCAGCAAGTACCACAGGGGGACTGTGAGCACCAAGGGCCGAAGGAAAAGGGCAGACCAACGAATTTCTGAAGTATAA